AGATTATAGTTAATTTATTCTATCCACCGATTTTTAAATAAGTTTATACGCCGATTTCAGAGGTTTATGCCACCACTCCACGTCTGGAATTACGTTTCCGATCGGTTTTTAAGATCCAAAGTTTACTTTAGCACATGTGTCCTTGACGGTACGTATAATCAATTATAATAACTTACTTGTTCTAAAAAAATTATTATAAATCGTTACACATCGAACGTTAAAAATTATTGTAACGATCATCTAACATCTACGAGTCACCATTTAAATTAAACTCAAGAAGGTATGGGTAATCATTTCCAAAAATCTGCCTCGCGCTACCGGTATTGAATACACAAGTGTGTAAGTGCATCGAGTCGAGTATTTTTAGCCCGTGGATTATTAATGCACCGGTAATTAAATGATTGATTAAAGCCGCGCTTCGTAATTGGAGATCATTCGTTCCCTCTCTCTCTCTCTCTTTCGATCACTCGGTAGAGATATGCATGTGTAATATATAATGTATACCTTCGAAGTGGTGTAATTGTCCGGTTTACTCGTGCACTCGATTTAAATTTATTTAAATTCGAGGTGGGCATCGCTGAAAAATACGTTTGCGTTATCGTTTCACGCGTTATAAAATTTTTTAAAGGGACTCATCACCTTTTTCAAAAATGACTGAGAGTGTTAGCATTTGCGGATTTTTTTATTTTATTTTTCAAGTCCTGATGAATTTATATCTCCCATTCGAGCATAGATTGACGAAAAAATCAAAGTGAATATGTTTTAAAAATTTAGCTCATACTTTATTAGAGGCCTCTATTTTAAGATTGAATGTAGTACGTAAAGAAATGACTTTTAATCACGAAAAATTAACGGTTCGTATGGTTGTAAACAAGCTCTTTGTACTGAGAATTGAAAATACATAATACCTTGGCAATAGATTTCGAATGACATCAAAAACAAAAAAGCACATTTATAGGTTATGTTTCTTTCTCATCAATACAGCTGAAAGATATCGATGAGTTTCAAAACGTTAAATAAATGGAGTCCTCAAAAGGAGATTTAGACCAATAAGTATGGCTGCTATCATTCATTCTCTGACAAGGGTCCCTAGCGATGAGCCTCCAAGCCTGAATGAAAGAGCCGGATGACGAGAGTTATACGTGTGAACCCCTATCTAGTGATATTTTTTGTCCAAAGGGCCCACCGGCCGGCAAATCATGTGTGACCCATAAACGTACCGGCCAGTGTACGCGATGTGGCTTCGACGGGGTGAAAAGTATCGGTAAAGTGACATCTTTTACATTGCTAATATTATAATAATAATAATAATAATAATAATAATATATAATTGATGATGATTGTCGTGTGTAACTGTATACTTTTAACCACTATATTCTAGAACATAACGTCAATCAACGTGTGTTTGATGCATTTGAAAAACGAGATTGAAGTTTTATATTTAAGGAAGACAGATCTACTCTAATAAGTTGACGAAAGAAGATACGAGATTTGATAGTGATAAGGAAATGCAAAGTATGTGTCCTACGTTAATTTACAATTATTGTGTCCAGCAACGATGACAATGTTCAGTTCAATTAATATATACGAATTTATTATATATATATATTCTGCCACTCGAATGTCAAATTCCTTAATCATTGGATCTCCTACTTCAACAGGTACAACAATACTATTATTACGTGATCTTGGTGCGTAAACCAACGAAACTACCACAGTTTACATTTATGATCATTTTTCTCACAGTGCACCTATTAATAATAGCAACGTCATGATTGAAGGAATAGGAAATTACCTTTTGGAGCTACGCAAAGTAAAAAAAAAAAGACAATAATTACAATATGTTTATGCTTTTCAGGACAAAGCGAAGCGTAAACTCGCGTCAAAATTGAGTCATGCAAACGACATTCAAATAAGATGCTTTTACATACATGTCGCAACGAGTGTAAATAAGTTAAGGAATTCGCTGTTATTGTTTGACAATTTGAACCAACGGACACCACCGCACACGTATGCAAGAAACGATGCATGCACCCGATCGCGGAGTAGTCACTTTTCGTTTTACCTTGAACTCGTGAGTACACGTACATGCAAATTAAGCGGAGTCTCTCGGCGCGTCAGCGAATTTTTTCCCGGTTCGAAGTATGCCAAACACTCGTCTCGTGCAAGCTGCGCATCATCACTCAAACGAAAGTCGTCCCCGAGAAACGTATACATATATACAAGTACGCGCATTCATCCATGTGCACAATCATACATTATAAACATCGGCAAAAGGTTGCAACTTTGCTAGAAATCGTGTCTGGTCTATACCCCGTTCCTATACGTACACAAGTTGCAAAAACAAAAACAAAAAAAAAGCTGTATCTTTATATGTATGAGGATACATCTATGTGCACGCGAGAGCAGCAGCGAACGTAAAAGAGACGCGGGGAGTGAATTACACGGTAGACGCGCGCGATAGCGCTTTATCTCTCGGCCAACCGAGGAATGATGGATTATATATTCCGCGAGCTTGAAATCCAGTTCTTCGAGGGTTTTTTTTTTTTTTTTTTTTTCCTCCACGTAGTGACGGATGAATCCGCGCCCCGGGAGTCTACAAGGTAGCGGTGTCTTGCTCATCTTCGCCGGGACCCGAAGGTGTGATAGGAGAATCGGTGTCGATAAGGTTCGTCGGAGAAAAAAACCAACATTCCCAAATGCTAATCCGAAGTGTATTGCGTTTAAAAGCGCATAGGTTGCAAGGCTTTTTTTTTGTTACAAACAAATTGGTCGGCGGGGCTTCAAAACTTTGAAACCTTTATAAAAATGCAGCTTGGAGCTTTACAATTTGCCTTACGGTTAGCTGTACTTGGACATATTATTTTCGGTGAACGTAGTTGTAAGATAGAAAAATACAGTTAAACTTGAGTTTGAAGATTACGAAGATTACGGAGAATCAATAGCCCAGAGTAAGTGATACATATTCGTTTGTGTCATCAACAAAACCAAAAGGGTAGAGCTTGAATCGCCCACTGTAGTATTTATTTCCTGATGGTATTGAAAACTCCTGTAATAAAAAAAAAAAACAAAAAAAAAAAAAAAAAACAATTTTTAAATTATATGGGAGCACGAAGTACTCATTATTTGAGACACACGGTTGGTTCTGGAATGAAAATAATTTACAAATCTCAAAGTTTTTTTTAACCCAATACAAGGGTAACTTCGATAAGTTTGAAAAACTACACAATTAATTCTTGAACATATTTTTGAGAAACTTTTGTTAAAAATCATTGTGAATACTTCAGCAATATTTTATATCTATGATAAGAATGAGGCTGATAAAATTCAGCCTATTTATTTATGTACGATGTAATTTAACCATACAATGAACAAAGAATCCTCATATGCTTTATTGTACAAATCGAGTTTTTTAACTAAAAATAAAATAATGTAGCTGTGACACTACAACTGGTATTGAATTAAGTTCGAATGAACTGAAATGATTTAAATTGTATTGGAATATCGAGTTATTAGAAGAAATGGGCTGTGACATAGATCATCAAGATAATTGTGGTGAGTTACAACAATTAAAAGTTACGTTTCTATGATTTTTGAAATTACAAGTGCGCTCAGCCGCAGGGATAGTATTTTAGATGGATCCATATATTCCGTTCGTCCTCATTTTATTTGTAATTCGTTGTTACTCGGAACTGTGTAAAACTGTGTGAATTGGAGGCCGATATTATTTTCTGATTAATTTAAATCCATTTCGATGAAATTACACTTTGGCATGAAATTAAAATTTAAAAATTTCGATTAACTATCAAGTTACGATTACATTGGAAATTTTAATCTCCTCTCCAATTCACAAATCGAAAAATTTTCGATTCAGCGGACCAAAGTTTGAAACTTAGTTCCTAACAAGTTGGAAAAGTAGAGTTACGATTCTCCTACAGGTGGACAGTCCTGTTAGTTCAAAATTAATAAGGAAAAAAAAACCACAACAATTTAAACCAAGACAATTTTATCTTTAACAGGGAAAACATCTCTACATTATGCTGTTGAGTTTTACAAGGAATTTGAAGTTTCAATTTTACTATAAGTTGGATCTGACATAAACATTGCCAATAATGATGGAGAAACTCCATATACTTGCTCTTGACGAGCATAGGAAAAAGCTCATTGTTGCACGCCTGTACTTCTGTCCAAAAAACGAGGAGATTTTGCCAATTGATGTTCAATTTGACTCGGATTTATCAACATTCGAAAAGACGTTCATTACCCCTCGAATTTCACTTGGCGATATTCTCACGGATCAATGACGAAGAGATTTCCTGCGCTGCCGAGACCCCAACGCAACACCATCCTCGAGTTCATCAAATTCGATGACCTGAAATTACAACCCAAAGAGTTGACGCCGTTGTTCAAGTTGCAACGCAGAAAATTCTTGAAGACTGAAAAATTGTTCAACATTGCAATAACTGCACTACGAGAACTTTTGGATCCAAGATTACCCGGACACTGTCTCCAATCTATTACGATTAATTTGGATTACGAACACCTGTGGGCTTTGTCTCCGATGAAAAACAACGAGGATTCATAAGAGATTCGCAGGGCGCGTGGAATTCAGAAAGAGCCGATCACACGTTTGATGGATAACAACTTAATCGTTGAGTATGGCAGAGTCGATTGTCCGGTCTGCTACTTTATATTTTTTTGTACGCGATTACACGTATGTTAATTTATTTTACTCAAAAGTCCTTATATAAAATTGTTTTTACACAAAAATGTAATTATCGAGGGTCGAAAAAATAGTCGAATCGAACGAATTGTTTGATTTTGCAGCACGAAACCTGTGACACTCGTGAAAATTGATTGATCGGCGGAGCCGAAAAATGTAGGTCAATTGTACGCGGTTCAGCTGAGAAAATAGGACGATCGCTCCGTTTATATACACATACACATTTAGCCGCATCAAATACGAGTAGCACCGCCCCGATTACAATAAAATTACTCACCGCTCGTCGAGCTGTACTCGCCGATGTAGCGCCGCGTCAAGTATCGCACCACCACCGCTGAAACAGAGAAAGAAAAAAATAATCACATCATCATGCGTAGGCTCTTTTTTTCTTATTGTATTTTCCCCCAATGTGCCAATATTCATTAATGTAATCGACTGTTCGATATCGGATTCCATTGTCATTATCGATGAAATTTTTTTCGTTCCACACACACACGGATTTACCATGAATCGTAGCGAAACAAACAGCAATAACGTAAATCATCGTGGTCATTGGATGTGTGCGCGCTGTTTTCTCGGTCGGGGCCATTAATCATCGCGACAAAGCGGCGAAACAATGCCGCCCGGCACAGCCCATACGAACTATTAGGTACACGGGTACATTGCATTGGGTGCAGTATGCCAATGATAACGCACGCAATGGGGAGGGGACTGTCGAATTCCACGGGTGTGTGCACACAAGTGCCGTTGTCGTATCGTTTTGGGGTACAATGCACGCGTCCGAGAATCAAGGCCGAAAAATGCACGTTCGAGCTCCAGAGATAACAGAGAAATGGACAGTCGAAGCCGCGCACCTTGGATTCTGTGACAATGTGATAATATATGTGTGGGTGGTGCACGAAAACGTGTACATTTTGTACATTATTGTCGTGAAAACATCAGAATAAAATTGTTCGAACGACAGATAACACAGAATCGCTCTGGTTGCATTAAGTTTATTGCTATGTAGTACAGTGGCGACGTGTAAACGTCCGATTTTTATTACGAGGATCGGTAATCTAATTGGTTAGTATACATACTTGGACAAGCGATTTTGCTCTTACTCTGATGTATGCGCGAAAAACACGTACTCACAATGAATAGTTTGTGCGATTAATTTAGTTGCATTTTTGTTAATCTTTGCTCTATCGATGTATCGTTCGTTTAAATAACGTTGGGGAACGCAATTTGTAATACATTATATATTATTGTATTGAGTAACGATTGAATTTTCAAAAATAATGGAAAATAGAACGATGAAAAAAAAAAAAAATCTTTTTGCCATCAACATTAGAGAAAATCTGGTACTTATTGCTGCGTGAAAAAAAAGGCCGAATCTATTAATTGCCAACGGTATTTTTTTGTTCAACACGAGGTAAAAGGGAATTGAAATAATTGATTAAAAGACGGTTTTTCAATTTGTCCCTAAATATCATTAATTTCAACCATTAGTCCTCATGTAATCAATTTACAACTGATTCATGCAAGAAAAAAAAACGTAATTACTTAGAGCAGGTACATTTCTGTCAAAGTATTTAGTCACTAACAAACATATATGTACAGACCCTAGGGTACATAGTAAAGCTACCGTGAGTTGAGAAAAAAAAAAAGAAAAAAAAAAAAGAGTCTGCACAAAAGTTCCACAAAAGGTACAAACCAAATACGCATATAAACCACACTCGCGTATAGTATCCATTTCTCTGATGCCGATCACACCAGCATCGCGAACCCTCCCATTATCCACCGAGAGGTTGGCAAGGTCGGCACAATCCTTTGCCGGGGCCGGAGACGCCATATACGTTGTCCCCCATTGAATCGCCCGCAATTCGAAATATCAGGACTGCAGGTTTAAAACAAGTATATACATCCCCGGTAAGGAGCCGCTGACCCGATTCCGCTAGCCACTGAGCACACCTGTGCTGCAGATATGCATACATATAGGCGAGCGAGTCGGAGCTAGCTCTATGCTAATTTTACCGACGTTTGCTTGCGCTTTCAGTCAAGTTGCGTGTTATATACTTATCAGAGAAAGAGCATTTTTGCCGCGAGCTTTGAAGCTTACTTGATTATACCTGTACTGATAATGCGGCTATACGTATAACATCGTGTTCATGTATCATCCCTAGTTGTCAAGAGTTTCCCGTGTTAAATCTTATGGAGCAAAAAAGCGGCTGCCGTTGACGAAAGGTGTATTAACGTGACAAGTAGCGCCAAATGACTGGCGCATAGCGAATAGAGTTAATAGAGTAATCTATCCCTTTTTTTTATTATAATTAAATCCATTCGAATTTGAACGGGTGAGTGCAAAACCATTGCTGGACCCGACGAATAGTTGGTCGATGGATTCACGATCTGAATAATTTTAGGACTTGAGGTTTTTTTTTTATTTTTTATTATTTTGTGTTTTGCATCGATAATCGAAGAATGTAACGGTTGGCATGGAGGTGTATAGTTTCCTTGTATCATAAAATTGCCGATCCGGCTCATCCAACAGGTCTGTCAGTGTTGAGAAACCAAACATATTGGTATTTTTGAAAAACAAAGTTATGAAAACGTTTGTCAGTTAACTGTGTGCTACAGTTTTAATTTCACAATAATATCACGAACTTTTGGATAAGCACCACGTTTGGTTGTGTCCCAAATTCAAATTTTTTTCAAGTAAACAGCAACGCAATAAATTATGCTTTTCTTCCTCAGCGTAAAAATTTTTCTCTCAAAATCAGTGAATACGTTTTTACGATGTCTAGATTTCTTGCGGATGAAAATTTATATAATATCAAACACACTTTCTAAAACATATGTATATCCATGGCAGCTGTTCACGCAACACTTATAATCCCAAAAAGCGAAATCCTCAAGCAAAGAGACACCGAATCTCGCCCTCTAAATAACGCGCCACTCGACACATATATATATGTATAACAATAATGTGCGCATGTATTTATAACTACAAAATCGTCACTCTCTACTGTGTATACTATGGTCAAGAGGATCGTTGTCTCTGTTATAATATAATACATAATCCACCGGGGCACGCGCCACATTCGTATGTATAGGTGTATGTGCCTAATGTGGCAGCGGCCGAGAAATTTCACGTGCGCGTATACTCGACTTTCTAACGGCAGCTGCCGATCACCTGTCAAATTTATCGACGCCAATTAGCTCACCGTCTTCGCGAGGGAAAGGCACGTTAATTATATGTATATATACACACCCACACCCATGTGCACCGCACGCTAACGCACCAGGAGACAAATTTAGATCCATCGCCGAGATCGCGATCTTTGATAACAGAGCGAGCAACGAGCGATCGGTTAATTAACGTGCCGGCTTCTATACATACACGGATGCGTGGCTGTGGTACGTATACATGCGCATTTACGCAACCATCGCTTTTGGACTGTGCAGGAATTTGTCGATCGGCGGAATTATTATTCACGGCCGTGGAAAGCTGCAGGGTTCTGATTTATTGTCATATGAGCGGGAATCGATAAAATCGACCGGAGATGTCAATTAGCGTGATAAATATGTATGGATGCTCTGGATTGGGGAGAGGTGTGTATCGTATACCGATTTTCGTATTTGACAGTGTAAAATCGAGGGATGCGCAGTGGTTTTTTGAAAGGTAAGGGTACCGATGTTTCAAAGAATTTAGTATTCATTATTTTTTTCGGTAATATAGTTTTTGTCGGAAAAATCGATTTTTTACAATGTAGAAAAGTAATGGAAGAAAGAAAGAGTCGAGATCGGTATCGTTTTATAGGGATTCAAGTCGATCAATACGAATCCGAGGTCATTTTTGCGGAATTCGACATTTCCAATCTCTCTCCATCGATCATAGGGTAAAAAATTACCGATTTTTTAAAAATTGATACATATGTATGACGTTTCAACGGTTCTTAAATAATTAAGTATTACATTAATAAAGTATTACATTAATAAAGTATTACAAACTCGACTGTGTTAAGATAGTCGAATTTTCTAAAATTAACCTCATTCGTAATCAGCGATTTAACAAACCGTAAAATCCATACCGATCTTTTTTTTTTTTTTTTTTTTTCATATTGTTGGGAAAGCGACTTTTCCGTCGAAATTCTACAACTTGGATTATAGTTTTTCATTACCATCGGCACTGTAAACGTTAACAATTGAAGCAAACAGTACTAATTTTTAAAATGTTAATATATTTATTTCTTAAACTAAGTTGAATTTCGTTGAAAAAAAAAAAAAAAAAAAAATGATTTGAGATGATCAACACGAATTGTTCTTACATCAGTTTGGAAGAAAAGTTTGCAGGAAAAAAACACGCCATCCGAGGGAAAAGAAAATTTAATTACAGCGTTGACAAAGATTAGATACTCTGGAAAAAAGTCGACAAAGAGCACAAAGTATCGCTCGATTTAGGATCAACGAGTGAATCAGATTTTATTTAGCGCGCGCACGGTTAAATAATACCGGAAACTTACTATCAATGGGCCGAGACTGTTGTTTGTACATGAATTCAGTGTACCGTTGTTATTCGCTCTCTCATGCGATGACTACACTAATGCGATTCGCTGGTAGTGCACATATTATGATGAAAGCGGTGACTCGTCTGTAGTATGTATAAGGTAAAGAAAAAAAAAAAAAAAAAAAGGTTTGTGTTAAATATCGGGACTATAAAAAAAGAATGGAAACATGTTCGTTCTTTTTTTTCTAATTAACAAAAAAAAACTGATATGAAGATACAACAAAATCAAAGTTTGGTGAATGAAGGGTTCAAGGTTAGGATATTAGTTTTCGTCGGATAAGTGCCATCGTCTCTGGGGCTATTTTGAGGCCCAAGGGACGTAAGGTAGCGATGGTGCTCATGTGGTGAATCCTATTTTTCCTACCGAAGGCACACCCGATCCTCAAAAACGCCCGAGGTTGGAAAATATAATTTTAGGTTAGAATCGTTATTTGAAGGCTGGTCAGAAGTACGTGTTATCATAAGAATAAAGCTCCCTCGCACACCTACTGATGTTTTTGTTCATGTTAACATTGATTTTTATTGAGATACACCATGATGCGTCATGAAATTTTTGATGCAATATATTTAATAACTACAACTCGTCGATTGACATGTTTTTTTTATAAAGCCTCTGTATTTTTGTCCATGTGAAAAAATTAGTTGGGGTCAACTCTCACACTTCGCATAAGGAACCATGAAAAATATTGAAAAAATTCAAAGCGATTACACTCTAAAAAACGAATTTCTAAAGTTTCACAGCGGTTTTTGCGTTTTTATCTGACTCGTAAGCACCCTTAAGGCGC